TCCATAAGGAAATGAAATTCGCAAGTTTATTTAATTACAAATTAACAAGCTTGCAGCTTGTGAATGCAGCGCATTGTCTGATCTTTGATTCATCGTTTGGTGCATTACATGAGTTTTGGCCAAACCGGACAGTTTATGCAAATGCGGCAGCAGGCCAGCCAGGTGACTAAGTGTGCCGCTGCTCCGTTTGCTTGCCCCACTGCGCTGCTGCTGCTGCTGCCGCTGCCGCTGCCGCTGCTGTCGTCAATTGAGTGTTACTCGCGAATGGGTGTCAACAATCATGACAAGAAGCGCACGCGACAATTGTTGACACATTAGACGCGACGCGAGGCGAGCCGACGCGAGCAGCGCGCAGAGCAGTCGACGCTGGCACGCGATAAAAAAAATAAAAAAGCGCGCTCCGGTTATCAATTAGTCATCAGGCAGCGACGAAGCGGCCGATGCTGCCCTCCTGCGCCGTCAGCGTCACCGTCACCGATTGCTAAATGCCACCGGTTCGCTATGGTCAACTTGCCCGCTCGAGTTGCTGCTAATGTCACACGGCAATCACACACGCTGATTGGGCGCGATTGTGCGCTGATAAGCATCGTATTCAATTATGCCGGCAATTATTAATAATATAATCAGACAAATCGTCAAATAAAATGCCCGCATTAGGGGTGCGATTTGTAGGCATTAAATGTCAACAATATACAAATAGCAAACACAACAACAACAACAACAACAACAACAACAACAACACAACAAAACAGCAAAGCGACGTAGGCTGTGTGCCAAGGTGATAAAATCGGCAATTAATGCGAATTTGCAATTGGCAACGCCTACGTCACAGGACGTATACGTCACGTTGCCTTTGCCGTTGCCGTGGCCCAGTGATATATATATATAGCGCCAGGTAAGCATTGTATATATAAATAGATTGCAAAAAAAAAAAAAACAACACTTAATTTGACTACGCTCGATGGACAGCTATCTACATATGTTGCGTCAGCTGACTTTATGGCACCTCAACCCTGCAAATAACAGCCAACGGGCAACTGGCCCCGGCCCAGCCCCCACGCGCCCTTGCAGCAATGAGTCAACCTACGCTTTTCTATCTTTCAATAAAACTTTCCTTAATGGGGCGCCAATTGGGCCAACATACTCGCAGCCAGGTAACTACTTTAGCATGATACATATGTGTGTGTCACTGATTAGTCAACCCCGAGGGCTATGTGCTCCCATGTGACTCCCAGGCTAGTTCAAAGTTCCTTCATTAAAGCGATCAGACAATATTTACAATCACAATGCGATAAGGCAAGCCAAGCCAAGTAATTGTTAAATCACTGCCAAATTCTCTGTACAACACAGCTCTGCGAATTGCACTGTCCAGCCAAATGTGGGCTGAAATATGTTTTAATGGATTATCTATATATGTGTTCTATTTGAATGGGAATGAGCTAAGAGCTCTCTAAAATGTATGGTTTACTACAAAACATACAATTTGCCCTTGTCATTTCAAACAACCAAACAGAAAAGCTCACATCTCAGTCGACAATAACTGAGCTCACTCAAATGCTGGCAATTAAATTGTGTGTTCAATCGCAGCAAAGGCGTGAAATTGATTGTGTTGAGCAGTGTAATTTTTCCGCGACCCTGCAGCCAATTTCGCCCCAAATCTGATTGGGCAGCGTCATGAGTTAAGAGCACACAGTGGGCGCCTCCTATTTGAAAAGCGGGCAATAAAGCTGCAAAGATACGAGCACTTAATTGTGCTGTGACTCAAATCGAGTTCTGATAACATTTAGTGGCACTTATCATTTATCGCCTTTACAAATAAATAATTAGCTACTACAGTTCATTCAGTTTTACGTGTGTTATAAGCTTAAAAGCATGGCCAGTTTTACATTGAGCCGGTGCGAAAACGAAATTCAATTCAACATAAAGCCGAATTAGCTAAAAAAATAAAAGCCGAAGCTAAGCTTGAAACGAGCCATAATTTCTTTAAAATGTGGTTTTAACGAACAATTCCCTTACTTGAATAGTATACAAATTTATATTAATTAAATTCTTCTATTGAAAATAGGCAACAAATGTGACGAAACGAGGCTCGAACCTGAAACTGGGCTTATAAAATATACATAAAACAGGCTCAAACTGTAAAGCAAACCCAAGCTATGCAGCCTATGCATATATAAGTATGTTACATATTATATCTGATTAATATTTGTTAATTAAGGTTCTTAAGATTGGATAGTACAAACTAAGATTGTACCTTGACAGAAAATATGCCACAGTTATTAAGAAAAGTAGATTTAAGTTCATAGCAAACTCATGAATTCCAGTAGCATTGTGCCTTATAGTTACCCGAAAATAAATTGTTTGTTTACATTTAAAGCGTAATGTGTCTTCACTCTTTCATCCAAGTACACAAACCATACAAAATATTCTACGATACAGAATGACACAAAAAATAGTTTGTAATTTCAATGTTGTCTAATTTAATAGCCTATGTAATTTGTATATACATTTAAAATATAATCATATTTATAAACAAAAACAAAAAGCACGTTAAGCGTTTAAGCACAACGAAGTAATTATCGATCATTTTTGGCATATAAAAGTTTTCCATGGGACTTAGTACCTTATCACTTATCAGCGACGCGTCCCAAGCGAAAGTGAGAACGAATTGTGGGGGCTCAATGCGATATCATATGAGCACTTTTATGGCAATAAGTGTGCGACGAAGGCGTGGAGGAGGAGGCGGAGGTGGAGATGGCCAACACGAGTTTTACTTTCGGATTTGTACATTGCACCCCAAGTACCGGAGAGTGTCACAATTATTGTTATCTGTGCACATGAAATTATAAATTAAGCAATGCTTAGCAAAAATTATAGCCGGTATTTAAGTTATCGAGCCATAATATATATACATATATCTATTTATGAGACTGCCTTCAGCTATAATATATTTTGACTTAAGGCCACATTTACTAAAATTTCATTAATTAGCTTCGGTTCATCAACGAATTAAGAGCCATATTTTTCTCAGTGCAGAAGTGGATAGTTTTTCGGACTTGCTATCAATACTTTGGGGTCATAAATCCGCCACCCATTGGTCAAGATAGACTCCGAATTGGCCGATGACTTTAGTAGCCACCGCGCTGTCCAAGTGGCCAGAAGTAGTCCCTGATCTACCGTACGCAACACATTAAAAAGAAATCAGCTCAACAAATAAATTGTAAAATATATATATTTTTTGATAGTGAGGTGATTTATTTGTTTTGATTGTGATAAGCATCTTAAAGATGAAATGATGTAAAGTACATTAATAAAGCAACGATATCCCCTAACTATGGCTCCCGAATGTGTGTGTATCCCTATTGGATGAAGTTTTTCTCATTTTTTTCATTTTTCATTATGTCTATTCTGTTATAAAATCGATATTTATCGATATTCTGTAAAACTAAAAAGAAAAACTGGACAGAGAAGCGAACGGACAGATGGACGTGACTAGATTCGAGTTGGCCCCTCTCATCGATTGGGCATAATTTAATTACATATTAGGCTGATTACTTTATATTAAGTTGAAATATTAAATTATATTAAGCTCAGATTAAAATAATGTAAATTCTTCACAACAAACAATAAGAAATGAATAAAGCAACAAGTATATGTATATATATTAATCTTAGCATCATGCTTTTATTTCACAATATTTGATAAAATATGAAAATTTTTTCCTATTTCATAATCTGACTTTTTGCAGCTGCTGTTCTGTATCTTGAGTAAGAGCGTAGGATATAGTATTCTGCTATCGATTTTTAAGAAACTTAATTGATTTGGGGGAATGCTTATTCAACATTTGAAATCAAATGGGATATCTGACATTTTCAGAGCATTAATATGGCATCCAAGTGTGAGTTTTGGGAAGGACATGGGTTGTTTTTCCACCGAGAATTTCAAGCCTTTAGGCTCGGGTACTATACCCGAACTCGATGCATTCATACAGACGAACGGACGGACAGGCTGACGAACTAACATTTGCAAAAAAAATTGAATACCCATTGAATCGATTTGCAATATTGCAGCTGCTCCGATGGAGCCACAAGACGTCACATAGTGATATTGAATGACTCAAGAGTCATTTGAATACAGCATAGATAATGATAATGATAATGATAATGAAACCTGGAGCGCATTCATCAACAGAGTTAATATTAAGAATGAGCCGATCGAAGTCGGTGGCCGCATTGACGCAATTTCAGAGCGTCTTTGATAAGGCAGAGGTAAAGGCAAAGGAGTAGGCGCTGACACCATTAAGCTGGAAAAGTTCCCCCTAACGTAATGTATGAGCGTATACGTGCGGTAGGGATAGCGGCAAAAGGTAGTGGGGGGAGGATTGCGGTGGCATACGCAATTGATAAAAGGTAAATACGATATGAATATGAATGGATAAATTCTATAAATGTTTACGAGAGTGGTCGACAGGGGAGGGGAGGGGATAGGGCAATGTTTGAGTGTTAGAGGGTTGGGTGAGCGGCAGGTGGGGTGCTCGGCCTAGGGTATTGTGAGGGGGGAGGTGGCCTAATGCTGCTTGCTGCGGGTGTCATAAAATCAAATCAAATAATAATTATAAGCATGGCGCGAATTCTGATTACAATATTTTCGCACGTTGGAATTGACGTCGACGGTTACTGCGTTTTGTGACGCTGACGCTAACGTCGGCAGCGACAGCGACCGCGACTGCGACTGCGACTGCGACTGAGACCGCGTGCGAGCAATGAGCAGATAGCAGCTACACAGCGACGACCAATTGGAGACCATTCCGGACAATCAATGAAAGCAAATGGAACAGAAACGCCTGCGCCAACGCCTGCGCCAACGCCAACGTCGCGGCCAGCGTCTGCGTCTGGGACTGCCTCACACGCAGCACGGCGATTTCGTATAAATATAAATTAATGTGCCCAGCTGAAAACATGAATCAGTCTTATTTAGACGCACGCCAATGATAATCGTCGGCTCGCGAATCCAACCGAACCGAATCGAAACAAAGCTAAAGCTAAAGCTAAAACTATAACTCAAACTGAGGCTCAAACAATAACTCAAACTGAAACTGAAACTGAAACTGAAACTTAAACTGAAACCGAAGAGTCGTTAGCATTATTAAACAATAAGCGAGTGTACTTCCCCGCAGTGCATGAGTACGCCCCAGTCAGTATTATAGACATAAACATTAACATTAACATTAACATTAACCTAGCCCAGTGCCGAGTGACTGCGAAAATGTGCCATACAAGTAAGTACGAGTGTTTGTCGCACTGCCGAGTGCCAAGTCCAAAGTTCTTAGGTCCCCTTAAGACCAGGCCCCCGCCCAAAAATGAAAAAAGCAAAAAAGTCAACTGAAGAGCCTAGGCATATCAATTTTTAATGGCTGTACGAAATTTATGATCGTACAGCCAAACGTGGTGAAATTTAATCATTTTTAGAGCGATGTTCTCAGCGTTAAAGGCACGCATTAAGTAAAAAAAAAATCAAATCAAATCAAATCAAATATAATACTCCTCAAATGGAGGTCAGTGCAAAGATAATGCCAGAAGACCCGCAGCTTAAGCCAATGATATATCGAACAATTGTCTAGCCGCATTTGCATAGTTTATTTAAAGGCGCGTCCGGGACTTCCCCGAGCACACAGTACAAAGCGCGCTGTTCAACTTCATCAGTATGTTTTTTAAAGATGGCTATTGAATAATTTAATAAATTCTTGAATTCATTATAAACTCACAACTGGACACTCGAATCCACTCGGCAATTAATAAGCAATAATTACAATCTTGCTGTACTAATCCGTCATGTGCTAATCCGAGCGTTCAATCAATCAATCAATCAATCGAATCACATGCTTGCTGCCTATTTTTTGTGCTTTCTTCACGCTCTCCGATAAGGGCTATAAATGTGTGCCGGGCACGAGTACCGGAGCGGAGCGAAGCGAACTATTACCCTCATCATATGATGTCATTCTTAACTGAGCCTCGGATACAATTGCAGCTTCGGCCAGCAATTGCAGTCGCATTGGCCAAATGCATTCCCATCATAAAGTTTATAGACTCCGGTTAATCACACTTGCGGTTATGCAATTAGACCAGAAACTTCTGCGGAGACACCTGTCCACTCGATGGACATGGCCAGCAGCACGTGCGCTTGCAACAGCAGCAGCAGCAGCAGCAGCGACAGCGACAGCGGTACCGGCATTGGCCCTGTTGTTGTTGCTGCTGTTTTCGTTATCGAATGCGATGTCGCTGACCTACGTCAACAACAAACGTTTGAGCTTGTGGCTGTTGCTGTTGCTGTTGCTGCCGCTGCCGCTGTTGCCGTCGCAGTCGCCGTTGCCGTTGCCGTCGCAGTCGCTGTCGCCGTCGCCGTCGCCGTCGCAGTTGAGCTGTTGGCCCGGCACGAGCGCGGATTTTGAATGAATTTGTGTTTTGTATGAATTATTCATACGACGCGTTGCCCGCGGCCAATTGGTCAACGATGACGTAGCTGTTGCTCGCGACTTGTCTGTCTGGTCAGCGTCTGCATTTGCTGCTGCTGCTGCTGCTGCTGCTGCTGCTGTTGCTGCGGCGACTGCGGCTGCTGGCAATATCTGCCGGCGCAGCGTTCAATTTGTGAGCAGTAAAAAAACCCAAAATACTCACACGATGAGTAATCCGAAAATTTCTTGTGAAATTCAAGCGAAACACAATTTCTGCGACCGCCTCTGATGACAAAGCCAAACATATTAAAACAAAAACAAAAACAAAAACAACAACAATATTAACAGAAGCAATTGTGCTCAATTGATTTTGGTCAAAAGGCGCAAACAGGCCAAGCGCATGCGGCATCTCGCTCGCGCGTTCTCACTCGCCGCTGGAGGCTGCCTCTTATCAGCCGCACACTCACTCAATTGCGAGTGGCAGCGCGACTTGAGTGCGAGTGCGAGTGCGATTGCGAGTGCGATTGCGAGTGCATTGTGAATGTGAATCCGAGTGCGAGTGCGAGTGCGAGTGCGCGACTGGCCAGTTGCCGAGCAGATGCCGCGGAGCGCACACGCCAAATCGAACGAGTCTCTTGACGCTCAATTGCCGTCTAGTTGTTGACTAGTTAGTTAATTGTTTAAGTTAGTAATTCGTATTTGTGTTTTTTTTTTTTTGTTTGTTTTTTGGTGTTGTTGTTATTTTGCGATACGTGCAGTCGTGTTAGTCTAGCGCCCAGTCTCATGTCCAACGGTAGGCGACAGCCAGAGAACGCTCCGCAAATCCAAAAAAGAGCGAAAAGGTTAATTTTTATATTTTCTTCTTCCTTGCAGCCAAGCATTGCCAAAGCGAGACAACAAACAGCCAAAGCAGCAGCAGCATTAGCAGCAGCAGCAGCAGCAATAGACAACACATTTGCAGTTGCAACAGCAGCAGCAGCAGCAGCAGCAGAGGCAGCAGAGGCAGCTTTCGCATTCACAGTTATACGCTGATCATGGCTCTGGCTGCGCTGCTGCTGCCATTGACACAGGCCCGCCATTTGCACGATCAGCTGGCGCTAGGCTTCGCCTACGACGACGCGGACAGCTCCAGTGGCAGCGCCAGCCTCAGCCTCAACTCCGGCGACAGCGAGAGCGAAAGCGACAGCGACAGCAACAGCTCCGAATCCAGCGACTCGCTGCCGGCCTGGCACGTGAATCCGTTCCACGGACTGGCCGATAGCTTCGGCGATGCCAGCTACGACAGCGACGCCAGCAGCAGCAGCAGCGTTGAGGCTGAAAACGACAGCAGCTACGAGAAGATTGCACAGGCGGCAGTCTATGCCACAATGCGCGAGCTGCGACGACAGCGCATCAGACACCGACGCAGCCATACGCTTAGGTTCTTTGCCCGAGTGCAGGAGGGCGCCGCGCCCGAGTGGGTGAACCCTTGCGGTGGCGTCTATCAGCCGGACCAGAGCCAAGCCAGGGATGTGGATGTATCCAGTGCAGCCAAGCGCAAGGTAGGCAATAGTCCACACTGGGGTTAAGCGAATGATTCAAACTGATGTAGCTAATCAGCTGTGTGTGTGTGTGTGTATATGTGTGTGGGTGGGTGGGTGTGCGGACGCATGTGGTATCGATTCTAAGTAATGCAGCTTGAATGTGTTTAGAACTAGTGAAGATAAGCCTGCAAGTGCTTTAATGTGCTCCCATTTGTTTTGCAGCATCTGATTGCGCTGCGCAACAATACGCGGATCGAGTACTGGAACATCCGGCAAGACGCGAATCTGGACTACGGCGACATTCAGGCCTGGCAGCGCGAGTACAAGTTCCTGCCAAACATGACGCGGCCCACAAATGTGGTAAGTGTGTTCACAGATGTGCAAGCGTTCGATGTGCCAGCTTTTAATGCTGACAATGAGCGAGTCGCGAGTCGCGCTGGACCTGCTCCGCCCAGGGCGGCTTATACCAGTTTCCACCTCGCCTCGCCTCGTTGCGACTCAACGCGACTCGACTCGACTCGACTCGCTAAACGGCATTTGCATTTGCCCTTTTTTGAAAGGCAACTGATTGACTAACCCCTCCCCCCTTTCGAACTGTCCAATTGCAGGTGAAACTCAAGACCTGGTACCGCCATGTCCAGACATTCGTGGGGAGCTTCGCGTATTTGGGCAAGGCGCAGTACAAGTACCACAAGGATCACCAGCTGCCGGTGGGCCAGAGCGCCGAGGAGCTGCACAAGCTGCTGGTGAGCGCACGCAGCGTGCTCTGCGAAATTGAGACGACCATCAATGCCTCCTATCCGTACAGCAATGTGGCCAAGCTCAGCCAGATCAGCAAGGCGGCCATGCTCGAGCGTCTCAAGTTCTACACGCCCGCCGATGGCAGCAAGGAGGCCGACAAGCGTGATCTCAAGTTCACCAAACAGCTCTACTATCAGTTCCTGGACAATATGTGGAAATCGCTGCGCCTTGCGCTGCGCAAGCATCACAGGGGCAGCATGGAGCGCAGACAACACGTCGCCTCCGCCAGTTCCGCCTCAGCCATCTCCTCTGCCGCCAACTCCCGCCAGACGTTCAGTCTGGAGAGCTCCGAAAGCGCCGCCGGCTTAGCGTCCATGGTGGCGGCGGCGTCCAATGACAGCGGCTGCCTCAACTCTGCCGAGTGTTAGGCCGCTGCCGCTGTCACTGCCACTGCCACTGCCACTGTCACTGGCTCCGGCTCTGCCCAAAGACGCCTCCTCGAAGTACGAAGCCTCCCAGTATTAGCGCCCAGTGCTGTGCACAGTTCCTAGCTGCAGTTGCGGTTGCCAAAAGAGAGTCAACAACAGACGAAAACAAAATCAAAACGAATCGAAGAATTTGTCGAATGCCATTTTAGAATTTTATGAGAAACGCCCCTTACCGCCAAAACAAACCAAGCCCCTTCCCTTAAAACCCACCTCTCTACCACGCACTTGTCATATGTATTAATTATTTATTTATTTATTTGCCATTTATGCTAGAGCTATTTAGTATTAGTATATCGTATTATAATCATTGCTACTTCCGTTGAGCGGGTATTTATGATCACACACACACACACACACACACACGCACACACGCACACATGCACACTCAAGTATTTATTTATTGTTCAAAGTTACACATGACCATTCCCAGTTAATTTCTAAGTCTTAATTTAATATTCGTGTTAATTCAAAGTAATTTATTTATTTATTTACACTTTTTTTCCTTCTTTTATTCTTCCTTATTTATTGCAATTTATTTATACAACATATTGAGTCATCTAAAGCACAAAAAAAAAAAAAAAAAAAAAAAAAAAAACAAAACAAAAGGAAATCAAATCAAATCAATACAAAACGAAAACTTAATACAAATGAAAAATGCTTAAATACACTGTGATTTATTTTAAGTAATTAACTTTTTTTTTAATAGTTCTTAGTGAGAAAACAAACTTTGTAAATTAAACAAGTATTTATAAATCAAAAATATGCCACTGAAAAACTCTGTTACAAAAATCGTTCAAGCCAATCTAACATGAATAATGTGAAGACTACAAATCAAGCTATATATATATATATATATATATATATATATATATAGATATATATGTATATATATATAGATATATATATATATGTAATACATATACGTACATACGCATAGGAAAACGAATGAAATTTGATGCCAAACTCGAAAGTGACTATCTGAAACTATCTGATGCAAATAAACTTAGTACAGACAAAGACAAATCAAGCTGCAATTTTAATTGAATTTCAATAACAGAGGGGCAACACGCCGTTGAGCAAACCGAAAGAGACCCTTCTACTGACTAAAGAAATAGCTAAGAAACTATTTAATGCTGCCAAACGATATTATCTAAAACACAGTTACACTAAGCCCAAAAAAAAAATAAAAATGCAATTTTAATAAAATTTAAATAAGTAAAAAAACGGTATCAAGCAGTTGAGAAGACCGAAAGAGACCATTCTTTTGACTAAATGACATGTAACTTGACATGCAGCTTGTCTTGTTAAGAAACTATTCGATGTAACATTCAAATAACTGTTAAAAGTAGCTTAGCCAGCAGCAAAGTAAAGATAGTTTTAGTTTTTCTTTCGTGGTTGCCAGTTTTGGGTACAGATCACAGATAGCTAAGGATCTGGATGTCACCTTGGCAGGCCACAGCATAAATGAGCAGGCGTCCAGAGACTTGCTGCTCACCCAAGTCGACTGCTAGGGCCTGCAAAGGAGCCACATTGAATTTATCTATCACAACAATTCAAATATAAAAAAGGAATAAAATTATACAATATGCTGCCTAATTGTAAAAGACTTGCTGTAACCCAACAATGCAAATGTTAAATGTAAAACATATCCAAACTGATTCACATTGGCTTCAAATGCTGCTCTAATAAAACTACGCAAAAATGCTAAAAAAATATATATATCAAAAACATACATATATATATATATATATATTTAAAATATAAATGTTAGTTCGCAACTATTATGTGCAATATTTTTTGTGTGCAATAAACTTTCAATCAAATATCGTATTTTTGTATCCTTTCTTATGGAGGGTCTAATCAATTTTGAGTTTGACATGTGTAACGCATGGAAGGAAACATCTCCGAGCCCAAAAAGCATATATATTCTAGATCAACATCGACAGCCGAGTTGTCCGACCATCTGTCTGTCCGTCTGTCCGTCTGTCTGCCCCTCTCTCAGCCCCTATAAAGCCATCCTTCTTTCTGCGCATATGTCGCATCTGGACAACTTGATCATATAGCTGCCATGGGAGCTGATATGCGGTTAGCTAAGCAACTTTTACAGCATGAGGATCGAGGGTTCATAGAAAAGTGGCTTTGATTAAAGAATGTTGGAAAAGAAAGTTATAGCACGATTTTTGTTTTGATTTTCATAATATCTTGACATCCAGCTTGTCTAATGTTACAAGGGTATTAAGTTCCAAGCGGAATCCTATTTGATAAGGACTGGCAGATATGCTGGCATATTCCCAGTGAAGCTCGTAATTTAAAAAAATTTAGATTCTTACACTATCATTAAGATTTTTGACCGATCCGACGGACCTGTTGCCAGCAAAACAGACACTTTCAATTATCATAAGCAAACAAAGAGAACAGATGGACTCAGTTACCCTCTGGCAGGGTAAGCGGCTGGTGAGCCTAGTTTAAGTTAGAAATAGAAATTGAATGGTAAAAATAAAGGGCAAAGAATTTGAGTTGGGGTCAAGTGTCCGGTGAAGAGCTTTTGCTGACTCAATACGATTGCAATGTGGCTTTTTGTTTGTTCTGTTGACGCACTTTAATTATTTGCTCTGGGGAGTGCATTGGATTTTGGGGCTTAAAAATAATAATATCTGTATTGGATTATTCACTTGTGATTTTCCGGTTAAACAGAAACCAATATAAAGATGGTTCCGTTCGCAACTAAGTGAGGCGCGATAACTAAACAATTTGAGCAGTAAATGTTGCTATCGGATTCGCCACTCTTGGTCAAGTGGCGTGTATTGATCCCATAATCAGGCGTCGAGGCGTTCCAAAATACCAACCGTTTCCGTTTCCACTCCACGCGCCCATGCGGACGCGCTGGCAAAAGTCGACAGTTGAAGGTGGCCGCAATACCTCGATATCTGCGCATCTTATCTACGTTGAGCGCAAGCGGATGCAGTGGGGCGATGCGGTATGTGGTATGCGGTATAGCGCACTATTCATGCCTCAATCACTTAACGGGCCACTAGTGTGAAGTGTCTGCCTGGGATTAAAATAGTTGCGATTGTATCAACTGAATGCTTGGCCATGGTACTCATTCGACGCGTGGGCCGGGATTCACCTGCAGCGACATAGCAGATGCACAAACACACAAGCCACAGGCATGGGTTAGTGGGTACACTAACCACATTGTCGCATTCAAAAAACCGTGCATACTTTTAGGGACACACTAGTCAAGCAGTGCGCTGCTTGGTTTAGCAGGGATTTCTTAAAGTTTTTATAGCAAATTACTGCGTCCAGCTGTTAGCCTACAGATGGCGCCAGCAGCAACGCAATTGTGACTCCGACTTTCAAGTTATTGTGCTGTCTCGGCTAAGCTTTCGAGCTTTCAATGCCGCAAACTTGGCGGAAAAAGTGCCTAGGAAAATGTTATTGTACAAATTCCTTTCAGCCTAACATTTCCCTCTCAAGAGCTACAGCCAGGCTCTCTGTTAACTAAAAATTTTTAAATATCCATATATGGATATTCATAGTTTATGGGCTATGATTTTTGCGCCACGCCCACTTTTGCCACAGCTAACCACAAAGTCTATAGCTGCCCCAGTTTAAAAGTCGCTAATTGTGAATGTTGAATGTTTGATGATTTCTTAAGGGTTAGATATAAAATATTAAATTGTTCCATCTTGTACTTAAAATGTCCGCACACTCACACACACACACATCCACGCACACACCCAGAGTTTCTGAGACTCACGTACGTGTTAAATTCAATTAACAAGCCATTGTAAATATTGTCACACCTTTTGAAACGAGCCAACACACTGAAGCCAAAGCACAACAAAGTCGTTAAGTTGTTGTTTTATTTAATAGATTTTTGGGTGTCCTATTCATAAACAAATTAAGAATTAAAAAAAAAACAACAACAGCTTTGATCCTAGTGTGAAAATGCACCACATCTAAGACAGACAGACAAACCGACAACCCTTACAAAATGCATATTGGTTACGTTGATAATTTACGCGACCTGATGGTCGCACATTTTCCACGTGATGAAAGGCAACAGCTCGTTCCATTCAGTCAGTTGACTTTTGTTAGAAGCTCGTCGAAGTATGGCTGAGATATTGACGAACATTTGGCACTAAGAACTCAAAGGAACGGCCATATGCGTCAGGCTAAGGATTCAAGACCCTTGTAGACACATAGCTTACGGTTATGCAGATGTGTAAAGTAAAGCATAAACTCAATTTGTCGTCATGCATACAGGACACACGCAGAGAGATTTAAGCATGCACGTATGAGTATGAGTGAAATTGTAAAAATCTGATTCAAAGCAGAAAGCAAATATTAATTGCATTTTGGGAATTTATTTATGGGCTCTGCTCCTTCATATTAGTTTTGTGCATTGTCCGTTCTTTGATGGTAAAGGACACAAATGGCTCGCCTACAATATGGACAGGGACAAAACATGCTGAGATTATTCAAAAATTGACTTCATATGGAGAAATGAAAGGACAATGCAAAGAGCATACGTGTGTATGAGTACATTTTTCATTTTGCAGAACAATGGCACAGAACGGGCTCGATATACCACTTTAATTAAGAGTCAGCTGGCAGATATTGAAAATTAATTTTGTTTATTGCAGAACAAAGAACATGGAAAAGGACAACTGCATTTTAGACCATGAAATGAAGGATGCCGCTGCGCAAACAAATGGCAGATCACACGACAATGCACGGCAATTTGAATAAAGTTCTCGGAATTGTTCACTGCAAAGGCAACTTGACAGCTTCGCTCGAATATTCGAAAATCAAACCAAATAAAGACACCGTTGGGAGGAAGCACAAAAAACGAACAATGTACGCATTTATGTATGCATTCTATGCATATACATAGAGAGAGTGATACAGTGAGAGAGTGAGAGAGAGAGAGAGAGTGGAGAGAGGTGAGATAGCCGAACAGTACACTTCAGCTTACTACTACTCGCCTCCACCAACTGCTGCTGCCCTACATAGCAGCGGGCCCTGCTATGCTCCTAAAGATTATAACATGGCTGCGATGACGACACTGGCTGCTGTGTGCTGGGTGCTGGCTGCTGGTATCGTTGGCGCCATTAAAACTAACGAGGCGGCATCATTTTAATGAATATCAGGTTAATGAATATTTTATAAAAATAACGCAGAGATGCAGATATGCAGTTGCAGGTGCAGTTGCGTGTATCCACCTGCTGGCGTCTACTGAGCTCAGCTGATGCTGGTCAGCAAATTGGGCTTCAAGCCAGCCGAATATTTTGCTGTTGATGGGATTTGTTACGTTCAGCGTTCTGCGTTCTGCGTTCTGCGTTCGACGTTCTAGTTATCATTATCATCCACGTCAGCGTTCACGTCCAAGTCCACGTCAGCGTCAACGTCAACGTCGACGTCGTCATCAATGTCCTCGTTCTGGGGCTGC